TATGGTGTCTCAGATGTAATAGTTACTGTGTTGGTTTTGCATTGTGAATACTGCACTAATGAAACACTCCATCTGGAGAAATTACCAAAAGCACCAGGACATATTGTTTTGTGGCTGCCTTCATTTGTTTTGTTCTTGTTCCTATTTGCAATATAGTGAGGTAAAATCATCTTCTCAAAAGACTGTTCCATCTCCCATCCAGGATGGCCATTTGGAAGCAGCATGTGCAAGATCAGTGGGCTGGTACAAGGAATCTCAGTTTCTGCTTCGGTCTTCACCTTGGTTGCAATAGCTGTGGACAGGTAAGTCAGCTCCGAACCCCTAGTCCCAGAAAGTGCCGATTGTCAGTAATACTGAATATACTTGTATAGCTATCTACCTGCTTATATTACTACAATATACAGCATTACCACAAAATTATTGCTTCACTGAATATTTATAACAAATTGCAAAACCCATGCAATAATATGTGTTTATCCAGATCTTAAGTGTTAATATTTTCCAAGCAGTTACAGCTTGGGAGTATGAACTGAGGTATTTAATTATGAAGTTATTGACAGATTGTTCTTCTTTTCAATAACTGCATAACAAGGCCTGTTGAACCCTCAGCATTTAAAATGATAAATGACATCACTTTTGAGTAAGAGATACATTTTCTGTGTGTGCACTCAAAAATACTCATCGCACATTATATGCAAGGGTGCCCTGCAAGTCATCACTGTGTAATAATTAGGGCTTTTCACGATGAACAAAATCTATCCTATCTTTTGTATTTCTACTTCATTCTTAAGCTTAACATGTTTCCTTCCACTTTTCATTTGGTACTTAAGTGTCCTTAAAAGCTTTGACCAATGTTTTTGACGTGACACTTGGAAAAGACTTAAAAATAAACATTGGCCCTCTTTCTTTTACAAAGTAAATGAGGTTAAAATCAACAATTAATGCTGTTTTTTTTTTTCCCCAGTGGGTAGTATTAAAGAGACTCAAATGAATGAAACAGAGCAGCATAAGTCAACATGTGTAAAGTTCAAAAGCAAACATTGCCAGAGAGACTGCATAATGACACACATGATATGGTACCACAATGTGAAATCCAAACCATTCCAGATGTAGGGGAATTCGGAAAATGCAGAAGTGCATGTACAGGAGGGATGACTAGCAACTTCTCAATGTCTCCACAAGAGGAAAATGAATGAGTATGGCTACCTTTGCTGATGTTTTGTTTGTGCTATAACAAATAAAGCTTGTCTGGTGATCAGAATGCAGAGCTAGCAACACTAGTTAGCCATAGAGGCCAGACAGTGGTGGCACATACCTTTAATGCCAGAACTTGGGAGACAGGAAGATGGATCTCTATTAGTTCAAGGCCACCCTGTGCTACATGAAATTGATCCAGTCAAAAAGAGAAACAGAGACAGGCAGTGATGGCTCACACCTTTAATCCCAACACTAAGGAAGTAGAGACAGGAAGGGATATGGCTGGGCAGACAGAGGAATATAAGGTGGGAAGAGACAGGAGTTCATAGCATTCAGTCTGCGGATTTGTAGAGATAAGATGGAGCATTTGGTCTGAGGACTCGGTAGAGGCAAGAATTAGTGGCTGGCTGCTCTGCTTCTTTGATCTCCCAGCATTTACCCCCCATATCTGACTAGGTGTGGAGTGCAGCTGCATGTGAAATAATGTGTTAAGGACAGCATGGCGTAGAGACAAGAAATGGCATTCAGGTCTGGAGAGCAACACCACCAAAGGACATCATGTGTTTTCTTTTGCTTTTCATGTTTGAAAATTTAATGACTTTAATTAATAAATGAATGTAAAGTTGTTTTATTATTTGTATGTCATGATGCTTCAGTCTTCATCAGGGTATTGGCTTTTAGTATGCATGTTTTACATGTGTCCTGTCTAGTGTTTAGTCAACCCTACACATGCTAGAGTCATCTGAGAAGAAGGAACTCAACTGAAAAATGCCTCCATAAGATCAGCATGTAGGCAAGACTGGGGGCATTTTTTGATTAATAATTGATATGGGAGGGCCCAGGTCATTGTAGGTGATACTTCCCCTGGGTAGGTGGTGCTAGCATGAATAAGAAAACAAATTGAGAAAGCCAGTAAGCAGCACTCTTCCTTGGCCTCTGCCTCCAGGGTCCCTGTCCTGAGTTCCCTCAGTGAAGTGTGACTTGAGAATTATAAGCTGAAGTATACCATTTCCTCCCAAATTGATTTTGCTTGTGATATTTTTGTTTTCTGTGTTTTGTTTTGTTTTGAAACAGAGTTTCAGTAGGTATCCTCTGCTGGACTGGCATTCACTCTGTAGACTAGGTTGGTCTCAAACTCACAGAGATCCACCATCCTCTGCCTTTTGAGTGCTGGGATTAAAGTCATGTGCCACCACACCCTGTCTTGGTCATTATCTTTATCATGGCAATATAGACCCAAAGGCTCCATATGTTTGAGTTTTGCTCCATAGTTATAACTTTAGTTTCATTCATTTCATTTTAATTATTCAGAGATAGTACCAATAATACAAAATAACATTAAATTATGATTCTTATCTTATTAATAAATTATAATTGACAATTTCCTACATGAATATGATTCATTCTGATGACTCCCACAACCTCTCTTATCTCTGCTCCCGCCACTACCTAGAGATCCCTTCTTTCTTCCAACCTCTTCCCAATACTTATGACTTGCTATTTTGTTTTTGTCACACAGAGTTTAATGAAGCTGATTATGTGACTATGTCTTTAGAACTATTGGAGCCTGATGGGCTCGCTAGAGGGTACATAAGTAGACATCGACTTGCTCCTCTCACAGAATCTGTTAGTAGCTAATAGTTCAACAGTAAGTGGCATGGCCCTGAGAGTCCCTTCTCCATTCACAGCTGACTGTTGAGTGGGCTGAACTTGTACAGACCCAGCTCTACTAGCTGCGGGTTCATGATTGCTGTGGCAATATCATGCTTTGAAGACGGCCTTTCTCTTTCCTTCTTCCTGTCTTCTGGCTCTCATATTCTTTCTGCTCCCTATTCTTAACTTTCCCTGAGCCTTAAGGGGATGGAATGAATGTCTTGTTTAGGTCTGGGTCCTCAAGTATCTATTATTCTCAGCATTTTGTGAAGCTATGGCTATCTGCAGTCATCAACATCCATTGAAGAGGGGCTTCTCTGGTTAAGGCTGAGCACAGCCTTTGTGAGAGTAAACAAAGATATTCAGAAGAAAGTTGGATGCCGTTTGACTTTTGCTAAGCAGCAGTCGTAGGTTCCTTCCTTGGACTTACACCCTCTTTAATCAGGGTTTTTGACTTGGTTGTCTGTAGTAGACATGGGTTCCCTTTTGTAGAGCAGGCCTCAGAGTCAGTCCCAGAGAGGAACTGGTTTCCCCTACAACAGCTGTATCACTGTTTCACCAATGAACACATCTTGCTTGGCAGATTGTTTAATAAAGTTCACAGCTAAGGAAGAACTTTTGTGTCTTTTCTGCCCCCCTGGCAGACTGCAGAACACCATCTGGGATGATGTAAGTCAGCCGAAAGGGAGAAATCTTCCAGTTCAGTTCCATCTTGATTTCTCTGTGTCTTGCATTCAAGGTGTGTGGTGTCTTCAGCAATAGGGTCTCATCAACTCATTCTTTAGTGATTCTCTAAAGGAGTGTCACAGAAGTTCATTTGGAGTTTCTATTCAGTCATTACTTTCATCATCTGTATATCTGTCTTCTGGGTAATAAAATCTGCTTCAGAGTAATCACAAAAACAGAAAAAGTATTAAATATGTGATAATACCTAAAATGATAGAGTTGCATAATAGCACATACATGTTATAATTATTTGTAGCACATATCTAACAATAATAAAAGTCACAATAACAAAAGTGGTAAAATTCCTCAGCAGAGTTTGAATTGCCATGCTCAACAGAGGATAAAGATGGGTTCTTTATCAGAACTTACAATGATGCTTCTTAGACCTGTATAATTGTAAAATATCTAAAACTACCTTTTGGTATAAGAAATGATAATTTATTCCTCTTGTGATTCAATGGGTTGAGTGAGTATCTCTCTCAGTCTTCTGCTCCCTGGACCACTCATGTTGCAGTGTTACTCTATGAATTAAATCGAGACTGATATGTCTAAGATGGTCAGCCTGATGTTCCCCTGGGCCTTTCCCCATGTACTTCTCATCTAAATCAAGTTTCTTGGAACCTGGAAGCTGCATTTTCAGAAGAAGCATCCAAAAGGACAGGCCTGATGTTCATGCTTGTTAATGTGTACTAGCCAGAACACATTCCATGGCCAAGCATGGAAATGATATATTGGGAATATTCAGAACCTAAGGGGAAACTGGTTCATGGATTACTCCTGATGAGCTCTCCTGCAGCATAGTAGAACTGGCGGTCATCTACTGAACCTACTGTTCTGGAGTCCAACTGCTTGGGTTGAAATCATGCATAACAATAAGCAAGATATGACCTTTCCTAAATTCTAACCCTAACATTTTAATCTATCACACTTACAGGAACAGCTCATACAAGTCCATGGGATTTCTTCATATTTTAATCTATCACACTTACAGGAACAGCTCATACAAGTCCATGGGATTAAGCCTACGACAGTGTTCTAAGGGACCAAATTTGGTGTATTCTGATGTAACACCCTTAGCACCATAATAGCATTTTCTCATTAATAGCATCTGATCTGTTTCATTCATTTACTTTGAATTAAAACATATATTCTGTCAGTTACATAAGTTGACAATGCATGCTGCACTACCACAGGTGCTAACTTTCTCTGTTTTTGAGGGAAATATAGGTAGACATCCTCCCATTTGTTTGCATTTGTTTGCATCAGGTTTGGAAGCTGAGGCAGTGCCTCACTGATCTTTGCCTCTCATTGCAGATTCCGGTGTGTTGTCTACCCCTTTAAGCCAAAGCTCACTGTCAAGACAGCCTTTGTCACTATTGTGATCATCTGGGGCCTGGCCGTAACCATTATGTCTCCATCTGCAGTAATGTTACATGTCCAAAAAGAAAAATACTACCGTGTGAGACTCGGCTCCCACAATAAAACCAGCACAGTGTACTGGTGTCGGGAGGACTGGCCAAAGCAGGAAATGAGGAGGATCTATACCACTGTGCTGTTTGCCACCATCTACCTGGCTCCCCTCTCCCTCATTGTTGTCATGTATGCAAGGATCGGGGCTTCCCTCTTCAAGACTTCAGCACACTGCACGGGCAAGCAGCGCCAGGTTCAGTGGCATATGTCCAAGAAGAAACAGAAGGTCATCAAGATGCTGTTGACTGTGGCCCTCCTTTTCATCCTTTCCTGGCTGCCCCTGTGGACTCTGATGATGCTCTCAGACTATGCTGACCTGTCACCTAATAAACTGCGTGTCATCAACATCTATATCTACCCTTTCGCCCACTGGCTTGCCTTTTGCAATAGCAGTGTTAACCCCATCATTTACGGTTTCTTTAATGAAAATTTTCGCAGTGGTTTCCAAGATGCATTCCAGGTCTGCCAAAAGAAAACAAAACCCCAGGAAGCATATGTCTTAAGAGCTAAAAGCAACATGGTAATGAACACATCTGGCCTGCTGGTCCAGGAACCTGCGTGTCAAAACCCAGGTGGGGAACATTTGCTATGTGAGAAAAGTGCTGAAAATCCCACACAAGAATCCCTGATGGAAGAAATGGGAGAAGCAACTAACAGTTCTGTGGCTTAAAAAAGAGTACAGGTCCCCAGTGCTACCCAGTGTTATGTAGTATATGAGTGTGGATATGTCTTTAAATACTGTTGCTTATTGTGGCTTTGCAGTTCTAATATTCTGAAGAAAACATTTACTGAAAGCCCATTTGTCAAAAATTTAAAAATATAAAAATGGCCTTCTTAACCAGTCTGGTACATGAAGTATTTAGTGACTTTCATATTTGCTTGAAATTTTTCAAAGTCTGACCATTCCCATTTTAATCATTTATTTTATGTGAGCCAAGAAAGTCAAGTGTGTTTGTTTTGTGAGTCTGTCATTTTATCTATCTGTCTATCCATCTATCTTTTCTTTTGCCCTCTATCATCTATCTGTCTAGAACAGTGGTTCTCAACCTGTGGGTTGCAACCCCTTTAGGGAGTAAAATGACCATTTCACGGGGGTCGCTTAAGGCCCTCAGAAAACACAGATATTTATGTTACAATTTACAACAGTAGCAAAATTACAACTATGAAGTAGCAAAGAAATTTTATGGTTGGGGTTCATCCCAACACAAGGAACTCTATAAAGGGTCAAAGAATTAGGAAGGTTGAGAACTGCTGAACTAGAAGTACACACATCTCTTTAAACTGTAATAAATGTACTGTGCATGAAAGTACATCGTGTCATTTCTCCAATTGATTTTGGATTTGAGATTTTAGACTTACTAATGTTCTCTACTTTTAAGAACACTGTTGGGTTGTCTGAAGTCTTTGCTACTGATTTCTCATTGCTGTCAATTAATCTGGGTTACTCTTGAAGCAAGATGCCGAAGGTCCATCAGTAATATTGGCCCTGGTCACTTCACTTTATGTACTAGAACACAGATTTCTTCAATGTAAAGTTTTATTTTTCTTTGAAAAGTAGAAAGTTAGAGAAATCATAGTCATCCGTAGAAGTTTCTGCTGGGGCTGGAGAGACTGGCTTAGTGGTTAAGACCAGTTTCAGATCTTGTTGATTGACTCTCATCACCCATGGGGTGGTTCACAACCACCCAAAACCTAAATTCCAGGATATCTGTATCCTCTTTAGACTTCTGCAGCTATCAGGCACAGATGTGGGACAGATACATACACACTTTCAGGCAAAACGCTTATACATGCAAAAGTTAAATACTTTTAAGAAAGTTCTTAAAAGAAATTGCCGTTGACTTTTTAATATTTTCAGAGTTTAAGATCTGCATTTTAACAGAAGGTCTAAGCAAAAGAAGCTATCTTTACATAGTGGAGCAGGTGCCAGGGAGTGCCACTTATTCCTTCTTCTAAGAGTGACATCACGGCTGCTTGGCCATCATCCCAAGAGTTCCCTGACCTATAGACAGAGCAAGGACTCTTCCAAACTTCCTACTGAAACCAATATTTAAATATATCACTCACAGCTTAATAAGTCAGCACTAAGGTATAAAAGAGAATTCACAAACCTCTGTTATCATTATGTTAGGGTAATAATTTTAAGTGCTAAGTTTATCTGGGGTTCCCAGAATGTTAAACATTACAACAAAATAGTTTATTTGGCAGATAAGAATAAATCCTGGATATTGAGATGCCATGTTGTTGCAGTCATTGCTGTAGTTCAAGTTAAAAGTTTTCAACGGGCCAACAAGAGTTAATTACTGAGGTTTGATTTGAACTGAGTTATGGCATGTTCCTCGATGCCATCAGGGTGTATAACTCTCTGAACCTTTACGTTAGGAATTCCTCCCTATATCCATGATTTCCTGAACTTTTCTGCTGATAGTTGGTAAAGTCGAACATTATAAATTATTCACTAGAGACTACGACTTGCTCATGGCATTGGGACTGAATAGACATCTGACTAGTTCTCAGAACTCTTCCAAAGCTCTCAGTTCCCTTCTTTCTACATTTAATCAGTTGTGTTCCCTCATTGCCTCCTTCTTAATTCTTGTGGTTCTCATGACTGAATTATGTCCTGCTGTGGTCTTGACACTTTCAGATCTTTCTACAGTTGGCAGAATTGTCTTCCTTAAGTAGATAGTGAATTTGTTCTCTGGTATAAAATGCTTTTGGAAGCTCTATTAAATCACCTACAGGCCCCAGGCTAACCAAGGCCTGCCCCATATCTGCTCTTTATATCTCTGACAAAAAAAATTTTCTAAACTCTTATTGAACTAAGATGCTCAGCCAAGATTGTTGGTGCTTTTTTGTTTTGTTTTGTTTTTTTGTTTTTTTTTTGTTTTGTTTTGTTTTCTGAGACAGGGTTTCTCTGTAGCTTTGGAGGCTGTCCTGGAACTCGCTCTTGTAGACCAGGTTAGTCTGGAACTCACAGAGATCTGCCTACCTCTGCCTCCCAAGTGCTGGGATTAAAGGCATGCGCCACTACCGCTCAACTCTTTGTGCTTTTTACTTACTATATTTTTTCTGTTTCAACTTCCTGTGTTACCATTCCTTAACATCTGTTCAAAAAGTCCCATCAAGAAGCCTGTCTGCATCCTTAGTATAGACAACTCCATCATCATTCGAGTGCATCAATGATGCATAGATAAGAGGTTTTGGTTTCAATAAACTGGAGCAACAGAGGGGAGGATGGAGGACACTAAAATGTCCAAACATTTGTACTTAGCATTTGGATTATGGAACCATAGAAATTTGAGTACCTGCTAGGGTAAGACTTCAAACAAATACATTTTCCATAGCTAAATTTTCTCATTTACAGGACTAGAATCACAGTGGTTTTTACACATTTGCTCTTCTATTCAGAAGACGAAGAATGGTAGGACAGACAACTATAATACAGGAAGTAATGAGACAGACAATTTGGAAACACTTTTGGCTTTTATTATTGTTTTTCACAAAGTTATTAATGCACAGCCCACACTTTGTAACTGGCTGTCTCAGAGCAGCCTCACACCATACTCAGTTTCTTTCTTCAACTTTGCTACTTTAAGAAATGATAACTCATCTGAACTGACCATTTTGCTTACTAGCTAGTACAGTTGAACACCATTCTTTGTTTCTAATTTCTACTTCTTCCAGTTCTTTGACCACTTCCCGACTTGTTTTGTCTTTTATTTCTATGGATGTTTTGTGCTTTAGGTATGTCATTCTCAGTAACAGGCAGAAAATATCACTTCATTGCATCCGAAACATCACAGTTTATTTTTGATTTTTTGTTGTTGCTTTCAACTTGGAAAAAACCCAGAGTGTTTGTTAATACTTGCATGTCTTTGCTTTTTCTGTCCTTACCAACTTCTTGACATCCTCTAAAATCCCTGCTCAGTCTGTCGCCTTGACCACCTAGCTAATTTCTCTCTCCCTTCCCAAGTTCTTTGCAAATCCTGGATTTCTCATCTTTCTTCTGCCAGATATATTCTCCCCAATTCCCTTTGCCTGCTGGCTCCTTCTCCTCCTCATGGGCTCAGCTCACCTGCTCATTTCCTCCATAGTAGATCTCATTATCTCTAATATCTTGAAATGTCACTTATGTTCTTGTGTAATATCCATATCCCCTACCAAAAATCAACTGTAAGGCAAAGATTATGTCTCATATTTCATTTTATTCCCATTCCCTAAGAGGGTACTTGGCACTCAATAGACACATGATAAATATTTGTTAAAAATAAATTGAATAATTACAAATACATTTTTGGTTTTAGTTTATTAATTATGTATGAGCCATATTTTATTTTCAATTGTTAAAGAAACCCAGAATTCAATAGAAGTATTAGGTAATACTGAAATGCAAATTAAGTAAAATGAAAATCATTCATTATCCCACTTTCATGTAGCAATAGTCGTTTTGTCACTTTGGGGCCTGTGTGCATGCTTTCATTAATAGGGATATGATTCTATGATATATGCTTTATAGCTGTTTTAGTATGTCACAGATATTTCCAAATATTTTATTAATTTCAGTGTCATTCCATTAAACTTATCTGTGACTGGAAATGTAACCAAAGTCTTTATTTTGTAAAATGTGTAATTATGTAAAATTCTCTTAACACTAAGCATACTCCAACATCTCAGAATAGACTGGGAAGAAATGAAATTGCTTGGCTAAAATATGTTTCTTAACATATTAATATTAACATCTTAATATTAATCATAAGATCCTGCTTAGTTCTTTAGAAGTGCTGAGGTATAAGAAAATTTGCTCACATATGCAAATTTTCTGGACTGGATATTCTGGGCTGGAGGGATAGCTCAGTCTTTAAAGGCTAGGCTCACAACCAAAAATACTGCAAATTCTCAAAAACTTTTTCTAACCAATTTGATGAAAATGCATTACCTCATGTGGTATGGTTTGACTGCTTAATGTTTTCAACTGGCTCATATTTTGAATACTGGTACCATGAAGCTATTTATGATGTCTTGTAAAGTTTGGAGAGTCTTGGGGTGGCATGCCAGGTAGCAGTAGCAGGTCACTGGGAAGCAGCCTTGAAGATGGTATGTATCCACTACTGCTTCTTGCCCCAGGCTGTCTGCTGCCTGACCTGCCAAGTGTGAACAATCAGGCCCTGCTACTGTGAAATGAGCAGTTCTAGGTGCTGTGTCTTTTCTCCCCATGATGGACTAAAACCTTTGGAACTGTTATTCCAGTAAGCCTTTCTTGTCTTAAGATGTTCTGTTGGGTGCAGTGACATGGATAATGATTCACAGGACTAGGTTCAAATACTAAATATAATTTATTTTGGGGAGAAATCACTTACACAAGAGGCCAGTGACCGCCACAGGTTCCAGCTTCAAGAATCCGTGACCTGACTGGAAGCAAGACAGCACACTGGGGTTTGGGACCACAGAACTGGTCCTACCCTCAATCATATCTGCACCTATGACTACACCCAAATGGGCATGGTGAGTGCTACAGGTGTGGGCAAGGTGGATATCACACTACAGTTGGATACTTTAATCACAATGATGAGGAAAGTAACACACACACACACACATACACACACACACACACACACACACACACACACACACACACACACAGCACTGAGAAGTAGGTTAACTATTGTGATA